AGGAGGCCAGTTCCCCATAAAAGTCCTCCCGGAAGGCACTTTTTTCCCTCGCGTAACATCGCGCCCCAGAGAAGGCAACGAAAAACCACTCTGGGTACTAACCTTCCCTAGTAACACCTTGGCGTATTATTAACTACTTACTAATCTGCGCAGGGTGTCGCCGACGTCAGAAATCTGATATGGCACCAAGAAGAAGAAGTATAATGCTATTATGTCACATGTTTTAGAAGAATCATTTGTCGAAAACGAAATTTACGTTGTTAAAATGTTATTTCGATAAGCGCGATTGTTAAGACATATAAACGACGTTATACTATATCATATTAGGCTAATTGTACCTACCCCGTTTTTTGTTATCCGTGTGATTATACCTTGAAAAACCGTTTGATATAATAAACTTTATGTGTATCCCAAGCACTGAAGAGCGTTATTCTGGGTGCGACTGGAAACACCTGATACTCATGCTTGTAACGCAAAACCAATCTCGCGCACGCAAAGTACATTTCGTTTCTTTGTTGCGTACCGGAAGGTGTGTAACAAGTATTTAAAGAAAAAGATTTTTTTTTGTTACGCGCGGTCGTACCTATGGAAAAATGTTGCATCCCGTTTTGTAGCAACATTCTTAAATACGCCGGAGTCCTGTGAGGCCCGAGCGATACTCGAGCTCACGTGTTAAAAAATCATAAGTGTCAAATCAAGGGATCGGGCTTTGATTTTAACGCTTGTAAAAATTGGAGGAAAAACCTAAATAAAATCGGGGAATAATAAAATTATTAATGGAGAGAAAAACAAAGTTTTTAAATAATCTTAAAAGGAGATGCAGCGCTGATATTATGTGTCAGACTTATAAGAATTCGAAACAATTAAATACGAGCAGGAGTTTCAAGGTGCGATTAATTTCCTTGATCGGAATAAAACACAGTGTCGAATTAAATCTGTGATAGCCCGAAATGGTCTGTCATCTGCAGGAAACCGACCAATCAAAAGCTAGAGATCCGGGGAAGATAATCTTTTAAAAACCTGGATCTCAAGGACAAAGGGCGACTTTTCCCTGCTTCCCCTAGTGAAGTTAACTGTAGAGATTTCTTCCAGACTTCTCCCAGTCTCTGATAGTGTCAACCACTGTCCAGACTTTCCCCAGCTAACAACTATAGTCAACTGTTCCCTGCCTCCACGAGTGGACATCATCCTGTTTGAACTTCGGGCTATCGCCCTTCGTCACAACCTCCCGCAGCATCGACTGACTGCCCCGGGGCCAACAACTGAACAGTCCAGAGCCACCAGAAGACAAGACACACTAGATTGTAAGACAGTATAAATAAACGGGTTTGTTTGTCACTGTAGCTATTTGCCTCACTTTCCTTCATCCCACATACGATAAGTTCTGACATTTGGATATCACCAATTCGGGGACCTTCACAATTTGAAAAATATCATGCAGAAGTTAATTAACCATATAGACAAGCCTATACACCCTCTGTGATTATTGATGATTTTATTGTTGATTTGATGTCTTCACTACCACGCTTATGTGAGGTTTGCCGATTGGGGAGAAAGTATCACGTCAATCGAGTGGTCAGCACTGTCGTGTGAGAATGGAAAAACTCACTGAGACAGGTTCTCCATCGTAAACCGTTTAATAAATATAAAAATTTCTCTTAAAACAAATCCTTAAAAAGTCGTAACACCTATCCAAAGTCGAGAAACAAGTTCGTAACACTAAAAGTTTACCTGTTCGGACGGTAGTTTTTCTTCTGGTGATGGTGGCGTGAAGACGTCAGCTCCGGGGTGCACAACACTATTTGGACCGAGGTCTTCTAGCTACAAGGTGGACTTTAGCGATCTTGATGGCACGGGAGGGCGAAGACAAGTCCCCCGAATATCTAACAAGCTCTCGTGGGAGAACGTCCAGATGACAAGAATCTTGGAGAGGAGCACTGCGAACCAAGAACGTCACATCATTTTTCCGCGCGGTTTTTATGTTTCCTTTGGGTCCCAGATCGAACATTCCGATAGGTCAATGCCGATTTGCCCCCGCTCTCCAATTGGTCCCCCTCCTCGTTACGAATTGTAACGAGATCGGAACCCTGATCGTGGGATGAGTCAACACCGACTGACAATTCGATTCCTATCGAAGATGTTCGATCTAAGCACTCAATTTCATCTATTATTTTAATCTGAGTAGTTCGATTTTCTTAGAAATTTCTACAGACATGTCCTTATATGGACGTAAAATATTCATTTTTCGTTTGATGGTTTCTTTTTACAACACTAAAATAATAATTATTATTTTCTTCTATACAAAAATTAGAAAAATTTTCCTTTTTTGCACAAATTCTAGGCCCACTTGCGAAGCTTCACACTTAAAATAACTAAAGAATATAGTTTTCTGGTTTAACTTAAAAGCATCGTTTAATAAATACAAAGTTCTATTTACATGTTATTACTGTTTTTTGAAAATGTACAATGTTTGTAATGTTATAAGCCAGTGGTGCACAAACTATGGCTCCCAGGCCAAATGCGATCTGTGAATATATAAATGATATAACTCACTTAAATTACATATCACTTATAAATGATAGAATTGGGCCTACTTTTAGTGTATATGGAAAATACTTTTGGGTCTCTTATCTAAGGCTTAGTGTCATTTTTCACGAGGGTGACGATATAGAACATGGGATAGGAACAGGGAAAATTTCTCCATTCGTAAGTCGCGGAGAATCTGCATCAGGTGATTTAGCCCAGAGAAAATTTTTAAACAGATATTTGGTAAAATTTGTCAAAGGAGAGCACTGGTTAAAATACACAGCTAAGTAGCAAGTTACTCAGTAACGCTAGTAAACTATAATCTTGTCAGAATTTTTTAAATTAACAGCAATTCCGCCGACTTATAGACAGGTAATATTAATAAGAATATGGGGTCAATAATCAGTACTAATTACAATATTTTCAGATTGAAGATAAGTTATATCTTCTATATCTTTAACGGCGCTGCGCTACCGTGACTTATGCGAAATTTGGTAGGCCAGTCGAAAAGTTTCGGCACCACTATTGTAAGCAGCCGCTTTGTAATGTCTGTCATATTAATCTACAGATGTCACAACCGTCTTTGTTTCCCACTTCTGCTTACAACAGAAATTGAAATATTTTTAAATTCTATTTTCTGGAACAAACGAAAAATATTTCTGACTTTTGTTTCCGTATTATTTTTATATATAAACGAAGCTTTACAAGTAATAAAAATTATTGTTTTGGCTGATCAATTCGTCAGATTAACTAACCGAATACAGGGCCTGGTTAAAAGGAAAACACTACAAGATTTTATTTAACTATTTACTATTTTATCCTTTACTACTACTATAATACGATATTTTGTTATCGTGATAATTCTAAAGAAAATTATACTATACTAATTTCTTACATAAAATTATTATTAAATAATATTGATAATATTTATATAAAGTAAAAGAACTTATACTATTTCTGAATTTGTTTTTTATAGACCTGCTATCCATGGGCAATTGCTCGCGCAAAAGTGGAATTAAAATTAATTCCACTAAAATTAAAAGTAAAAGTAAATCCAGGAAAAAAATACACTCCTGTACAAAACCAAGGTTTAGTAAAGTTGAATCCAGAATCAAGAAATTTAATTTCAGAAGAAAACTACGTACATTAGTGCATTGTTCCAATAANAAAGAAATTTGATAATAATGAAATAAATAAAATGGCAAAAATAAAATAGTATTAATACTGTATTATATTTAACAATTTCAATTATTAGTAAATTATTTTTAGAAGTTTGCTTTGGTTTGATAGGTTAAGGCAATATGACAAGTCAGCAATCTGCCAAGGAAAAATGCCACCTGGGAGGACTTTCTACAGGAAACTTGTCCATATTTAAACATTAGACACGTGAAGAAAACTGGAAAAATTCTTGTGGCCAGTCCACTGTTGAGGTGTAAACCCATGACTAACTACCAGCATTCAGTGTTTTATCCCTCAATCCCTGATGGGCTTAGATTTTTGGAAATAATATGTCTAATTAGCATTTATTTAAATAAATCTTAATATAAAAATGATTCATCAGATGTAAAGATTCAACGTGACATTTTCGTTGATCTGATAAATTTGAAGGGGAACAAATGTATTAATTTTTATTATGTAGTTTTGTTTAATTCATAATTTTCCTTAAGTGTAATGAAAAAAACTTATATATTTAATGATTTTTGTGATATTACTAACATAAGGAATAATTCACTATTTAAAAAATTCTATCACACATTACAAGTATTTAAATCAAATTAAATATAGACTTGCAACTTCAACTTCATTTTTGTATTAGCATTTTTGTTCTTTGTTTACCAAACTGAGTTCAAATTTCCAATTCCAGTACTGACATTTGAGTTGCAATTTTTAATGGAAACATCTTTTGCAGAAGAAATACTGCAGACATTACAATGTTTTTTCTTATAGTCTTGTTTTTACAGAATTAAAATGAAACAGAAAACTTATGGCTTCTGTGGTTTGATACTGAGAGGAATTAGACTCATATAGTCAATATTTTGAAACTGGCTTCCTCAATTTATCTACATATTGCTAATAAAATTTTATTCTAAAATAGTTTGACTTACTATCATATACATTAACAAATTTATAAAACAAATCTCTACTAAATTCATTTAAAAAAGCCCAAAGACATTTGTTTTGATTAAATTTAGTAGTGCCATGATTTATGTCACTAAAGGTTAACTCAGTTGCAGAAAGTAACATACATTCTACAACCAAGTTAACCAACACATTTATTAGAATATTAATCAGAATAATTTAACTCCATTCTGTTCAAATGACAAAAGTTGAACACAAGGTTTCTTCTATGGGCAATCATTTACATTAATATAAAAACACTAAAATAAAATTCAATTAAATCATTAAATGTATTTTGATTATATAAAAGTATTCTAAATTGATCTTTGGTAAAATAAAACAAGAAGCGGAAAACATACTTCTTCGCTGTCTCTTAATTTTGCTATGGCACGAACCGACATCAAAGTAATTTCGGGTTCCATGGCAATATCGTCCACTTCCTGGATGTTGGCATCCTGATGAAAAAACTGTTCGTCATCATTATCTCCTGCATCTTCCAAATCCGCTAACAGTTCGTCGGCCAGAGACATCTTTAATAGTATTAATTATTCTGCAAGAAATGAAGAGAAATGAAAGCAATGATTGCATACAATTTTTAATATTCAACTATTTAAAAGATAAGAGCTCTGATGCATGTATTAGCTCTAGAATTACCACAGTTATCCAAGTAGGAAAGTACAGTCTAAGGAACCGTAACTGGTAGTAACTAATTTTTAATATTCAACTATATAATGATCATAAATTTAAAAACTTGTTACAGAAATCATATTCCTTTAACAGAATGTAAAATACTGACTAAGTTTTTAATTTTTGAACTTAATAAATATAATTGTGATTAATTTGATGTTAATTCAGCATATATAATTGTTCATTTATTGTATATTGATCTTTACATAATTAACCAATAGTTGCAAAGTCTTGTTCTTTTATTCTTCTCATCCTGTGAGCATTAAAAAGATCCTTTTTACACAGCCTCCCATTGTGGGATCAGCCAAACCCAGAATGGTGAGGCCGAGTGGTGATGGACAGGACTAAGATAGACCATCCCAAAAAAATTCCTAGGATGTTTCAACTGCCCAAATTAAATCCCGGGTCACCAGAGCAGTAGGCCAATGCTTAACTGCTTTGGTCATCTAACCTTCAATTAAAGTATTAACTATTAAAAGAATAACCTGAAGATTTATATTTACTTTTACCATCCTGTATACCAGCAGTGGTCAAACTGTAGTCCCCATGAACAAATTTGACACACCACTTATGATAGAAATGTGCATAAATTTAGTAATACAGTGATTCCACTTAAATGGGACAAGTTGGGATTAATCCATTTTGGTCCAATTAAGCAGCTACCCCAATTAGAATGAACTAATAATAAATTCTGAAATAAAATATGTAATATGCAAGTAAATGAATAAGTAGGTAAAAATAATAATAATTAGGTATCTATTTTAATGCTTTATTAAACCAGAAATACAGAAAATATTTGTACTATAAATTTGTCAAACTCAATTTGACAGATAACTGATTCAGTATCACATCATTGTTGTCAAATACAGTATTAGTAGTGGCGTACACAAGAGTTGACTGTTCGATCAGGAATGGATCGAACAATCTTTCCTTTCTCCTTTTATAGTTAGAACATGTCAGAGTTTGCCCAAAAGTCACAATATGGCTTTCTTTGAACACAGTTTCCTTTACTTGGAGATGGGCCACTTCGGCTGGAGTGTCTTAAAATCTGCCAGCTTTGGATGCTGGTCCCAACGATTAGATGGCTGCTGAATGTCTAGACATAATCATGCACACAACACCTTCCAAGGGAACTCTAGCTGTCTTCCAACTTGGTCAAGAGACTGCAAAAAATTGTCCATGGAGTCTTTGTCTCTTCGCTTTTAAGGGAATCATCCAGTCCAATCTGGAGCAGGGCCAGTAGCTTGCATTCAGGTCTGTCTCATATGGGATCCCGGTGTGATACGTCCCGCTATGCTGACCCCTCCAGAAAAACCAAACCGCCCAAGTTGAAAGATAAAATGATTCTCTGTCAACTGTTAGGCCTACATGACATTAGTGTACATAGTGTTGACATATTTTTGGAAGATCCCTAAAATATATCAAAAATTGCTAAATTTTTTTTCTGCTACTGTCCTAATTAAGCGAAAAGTTGTCCCAATTACGCATTTAAATTATGTATTAATTTATTAGTTTAGTTGCCATTCTTTGAGGTTTGGCCCAATAAAGTAACTGCCCCAATTAACCGGTGGTCCAATTAAACGGAATTGACCGTATATAAAAAACATTTAGGTAATGTTTAATACAAGGAATATAAAAAATATCTATGGCTTGCCTTATGTGCAATTAGGCCTGCAAACCAAGAAGTTTGGACAACAAGTAAGATTCTAGCTCCAAATGAGGGGTTTCACACTACCATGAATTACCAACCCCCTTTACGAGCAAAAAAGTCAAAGGAACCATATCTGTACATGTGACACTTTGTAAGATATTTGCCTCCAAAGGTCAGTTTTTAACATGTATCAGTATACTGTCTATTCTCCATGCTCTGCATCATCAAGGTGAGCAATAGCAAGCCTTGACCGATGCTCTGCACATGGTCATGCACGTTAGTGCCTGGATGAGGGAGAGCTGCCACACCCTCTAAAACTATATAACATCAAGTCAAGTGGGATACTCACAACTGGTATAGTCGCGTGGGCTAAATAGTTAAATGCAATAGTCTTAGCACAGCAATGCAACTTGCGAGACCCGATTTTGGAGGGGCTGTAACTCACAAGGGGTCACTTGTAGAGATATGGTTCCTTTGACTTTTTTGCTCCTATGGGTATGCTCTACAGCTCTGATAAGATCCCAACAGTCTTATTCAGAGCTTGAATTCAGCAGGACGACATTACCATATACCAGGGGTCGGCAACCTTTCAGCAGTGTTGTGCCAAACATAAGTTATAGTGTTATTCTGAGTGCCAATATAATTCTACCAAGTTTATTGTATATGTTATCAAAATAAGTCCAGTTATAATGGACTTCAAAAATGTATAATTTTGAAGTTAAGTTGTTAATTGAATTACATTGTTACGTGTAAAGCGCTTGCATAACATGTAGATGGAAACATGGAGCATAAACGTATGCGCTGTAATAGAAATATACAAAAACAGAGATTTGTTTTTAATATATCATGGCCTTCACTGAATTATGACTTCCATTTAATTAAATGTGTAATTAATAATTAAAATATAATTTTTACTATATTTCTATTCAATCAGTGCGCCACTGAAAATCGTCCTGCGTGCCATGTTTGGCACACATGCCACAGGTTGCCGACTCCTGCCATATACAATACAAAATAAAAAGAAAGGTTTGGTCATGCACAGCTATTTGTTAAATTGTAAATTTTGGCTATCAAATGGTTCGCATTCACACTTCTGATGTTCCTCACAAAACACAATCTCTATCCATCCATTTGCTTTCCAATCACAAAAATAAGACATATAATTATATTCGTTCCACTGTCAGAAATTAAAATTCTATTATATCTTTGACCAGGGGTAGATTTAGGGTAGTGCACAAAAATAACTCTATAATGGTGAAATTCCAATTTATATCCAATAGATAATCAAATTATGTTAATTATAATTTAAAAAATAATGCTTTATACAGGATGTAGCTCTGTGTAACTCTCAATTAACTTCACACTTTCATTTAATAAGCAAATGAAGCATGAGTTACTTTTAGATAAATAGCACGTACACTTGTATACATATCATTTGTCTAAAAGTAACTTCTTCTATAAACAATTGTATAACGTTTTAAACTACTTCCACGTAAGCTAATAATATAATAAATCATCTAAAATTGAGATTTTTATTAGATTCAGCATAAAATATCTTTCTTAAACAATTATAAACACTTACCTCCTCCTGCCGTTTCTCAAAATACGCGGTTACTGCGCCCTCTATACGACATTAATTCTGTAAGTGTTGCCAACTTCATACGCTAGAATTTTGATACGTTTTTACAAACATACAAATTAGTTTATATTACTTTAGAATATTTATATTATTAAAATAATAATAATATATATATATATCATATATATACTGTTTTGAGTATAATATTTAGGAGCGATAGGTCACTGAGGCTGTAGTCCTCAATATGTCGCTCTGGGGATCCGGGTTCGAAGCCGAGTCTGAACTTTCGTACATTACAAATAGGCGGTGTCTTTATCAGATATCTGAGTGATTGAAGCGGCAATAACACCACTCCGCCGCTCTAGAAGATTCGGGTTCGAATTCAGGATGATTCAGTAACTTTCATAAGTGAATTGATCCGAAAATGTCGGATTCCGTACCTCATTATTCAGTTGTTCTATTGTGGGATTGGCTGAATCTATTTCGTGCACGCAGAGTTAGATGTTTAAATAGATTCATATTTATTATCATTTAGAAAGTCCGAGAAAATAAAAGTACAAGTTGACCCCCCTATAACACTGTTGATAATTCCGTTTTATATGAATTCCATATTGTACGAATTACTTAGATTATACAAATACGTGTGCCCGGCTGTGAACGGCTCACGTTGGAGCATCGCTTTACCGAAACGTCTTAAGCCTTTAAGCCTTGATTCCACTTGCAGGTTTTCAACAGTTACGACGGTTACTATGAAAACAATCACACAAGGCATCACTTTTTAAAGGAAAATTATTTGCAGGTGCCGCTGCGGCTTACCGCTTTTTAAGGCCAATTGAATGATAGTATTCGTCCGACGCCAGAGCAACGGAATCTATCACTGGCGTCTAATTACAGAACGATTCCGTAGCCGTATTCTGTTTTTTACCACGAGATGTCGCTACTTCGTGACGTCAAGAAGCTGGACAAGCATAATTCTGACTGTGGTGTATTTACACCACAGTCAGAATTAATTTACAGTATTACAAACAAAATTTGCTACTGTTCGTTTCTTGAACGTCAAATTTGTCTTTTGTCTAATGTTCATTGTTTATATTAAAGCTTTAAAAAATAATTATTGTTCATTATTTTTATCAAAATATTTAAAATTATACAGTATATTATAAAAGTTATTCTACGGAATATGCAGACTTTCGTTCTTAAATTCTTTTAATCTCAAGATTTTCCTGCTGAATTTTCAATCTCTTACTCGATTTTTTTTGTATTATTTAATAAAATTATTTATTGCTTTTTAGAAATAATTTCAACGTTTTATATTAGAAAATTTGAGATATTTTATTTTAAAATTATCTTTGAAATGTTTCGCAAACCAAACTCAATTTTCTCCGTAGGCATCCTTATTTGGATTTCACGAAATTTTAAAAAACCTAACCCTAGCAAATACCAAGAGTTAAGTGTATCTTGTGTAATTTGAGTAAAGTCTTTTGAATTGGTAGTTTAAATCCATCCACAAATTATCACCGTCAGTAAAATATTAGAGAACTTTTTGTAGCCTGATTTAACAGATCTGCAATGATTTATTTGAACGTTAGCTAAGAAAAAATGCTACAGTATTCATAAGATGATTTCTTTATGAAAAAGATTTATTGAAAATTACACATTTTCAACATTTTCATATGCCCAATNATTAAATAGACATTTAATGATAAAAATTTATTGAAAAGTTTATGTAAAAATAAGTAATTGTTATCACCCCGTTGTAACAGGCTATTGCCTTTTTTATGTTAATAAACATTTGATTATGATTAATACATGTATTTTTAGTTCATTATGATTGTGAAACAGATAAAATGTAAAATGCTTTGGCTATGTAATAAATGTTTAAAGGAGAGAAAAGTTAAGAATCCATGTGAATGTACAATTGAAAAGACATTATAATTTCATCTAACACCTAAAGACTGTTGTTTGGATTTCCTGATTGATTAAATTAAACTATTTGGTCAAAAATAGCGATAGATGTAGATATGTTTGTCTGTCATTATTTCTGACCAAATAGTTTAATTAAATTTATTTTTATATAAACTACTTATTACTAGTTATAAACTACTAGCAGACGCTCCAAGTGTATCTATTATAAATGTATAACACTTCTCCCGTGGGGGTGGAATTTTTCGAAAAATGTTTTCTCAGTGTACATTCTGTTGACGTACCCTATTAAAACGCAAATAACCGCATATGATATAGTATAAGTAGAAGCGGATTTCTTTACGGTAAGCCTTAATCCTGTCCATCTCCCCCCAGTGGGGGGAAATTCGACACGTATATTATATAAAAACACGTGCGTATTGGAATGCAGCGTTGTGTGAAAATTTCAAAGCAATGTGGAGGAAGGAATATCAGGCATTTAACATTTTAGTTTTTTCTGTACGAATTAGCTTCCGCCAGTTAGTGCTTGTTTATAAAAATTGATTTGTGCTTTGTTAAATTAATATATACTTTGTAAGGATTGTTAACAACTTATCAGTATCATATGAAAACCTCTTTACATTTTAAGTACAGATTAAAATAAATATGAAATATAAATAATGATAATTCCACTCCATTGTTAATTTTCCTTAATTTTTGTCTTAACGCATCTGGATATCGTAACGGCGCGACTATGCAGACGCGAATTTAGTTGCGAGCGATATAGTTTTGAGAAACTTTGCACACGTGAGAAGCGAGAAATATCGATGGCGAGAGCGAATATCTGGTTCTCGCACATATCTGGTTCTCGCACATATCTGACAGGGTTTGATGATAATCGCGTCTCGCCTTTTCTCGCTCGCTGGAAAAATTTGTCTGCATAGACGCACCCTTACATGGAGACATTCGACTTTCTTTCTTTGCTTCCGACTGACTTTTTTCCACATAATCTACGTCATAATAGAATTATTGTACGTTCTATCTTCGTTTATTCCTATAATCGGTATAACTGCGCCAAAAATTAGGCGCACTTTGGCATTTTTGGTTAAATTGGAAATAAATATGAATTACGCCGTTAACATACACGGGCCTTACACGATAGTTATTACTTTAAATTATTATTAAACGAAACAGAATAAAATTAGTAATAATTAAACGGACTAGAAGCCATGTTAAATATAACTATAATTATTATCTCTGAAGTTAGTGGCTACGGTGGTCTCTACGGTGGTCACGCGGGGAGAGATCGCCGCATGCAAATCACTTTGGTGTGGTTTCGGTTTCGGTTTCGTAACAAACGCGTGAAGCATCGACGTGGGTAAGTTAAGTTTTTTCCTTTGAATTTTCGCTATAATATTTCCGCATTTTACTTGTAATGAATCGAATCTGGCATTCCGATGGTCAAGGAAAGAGCCTGTCGAATCGGAAATGGTGTTTGGCCCGTTTTTCAACATTACCTAAGTTTTGGGTAAAAGTTTACTATTGGGCGCGTTTTCCCTTAATTTTGTATTTTTACGAGACCTCCCTAGTAGACATGTCGTAAATAGATAGAATTTTTTGGGGGCCACGCATATAATGAGAGCTATAAACGAAAAATCATTGGATTACTTACTGACTACGCACGGTGGAAGCCGTCATTGCTTAATTAAACCTGTTTAAATCGCGGAGTACTACATTACAGGCGAACGTCTACAAATCTTGTCATGTGATATCGCTACGTGTTATCCCGTTTTTTTTTTAAGTTTTTATGAGGATTTTTTTTGTAGTAAGAAAAATAATCGATACCCTGTAAATTAAATTGGTGGGACAGTGAAATAATATGAACCAACCATCTCTCAGGATATTTTTTCGTACAGTCATAAAATTCCTTGTTCCCTTCAGAATGGACATAAAACAAAATTTTCATCTCATGGTTACAAATAAAACGTAGGATTTTACATAATATTTGAACAAACTGAAGTAAAAGATATAACGAGAAGATAAACTTCTTACCTTAATATCTCATATCTGAACTTAATGTCTTAAAGCCAAATTGTACATGAAAAAAATTATTGAAATACAACAGTATTGTTCATGAAGAAAATAATATGCATTTACATTTTCTCAGACTGTTATGGCATGAAAGATCATATCAGTATGAATTACAAGACCTGTTTATGGAAATCCTGCCTTGTAAAGTTGCTGTCTCACTGCTTTCCATTTTTCTCTAACACAACTTATTTTCTAACATAATTTCTTCTTTTCCTCATAAACACAAAAGTGTAGGTTTATGTGAGCCAAACATATTGTGAAACTGTTCGTTATTTAAAGGAAAACAGGAAAGTTGTATGATTTAGAATCTTCACGTTGGGCTCCAACAATACCACGAGGGAACATAGTACATCAAAGGAAGCAAGAGCAAGACAAGAATGATATGAACGTGCTATGAAAAGAAGAAACAGTAGACGAGCAAAAAACTGCATCAGACTACGGATTCTTCCAATGAAGAAGTCTGTGAAGTTTCTTCTATGAAAGAAACTTCACAAATTTTCCAGGAAGAACTTTCAGAAAGTGTTGTAAATTTAAAAACAACTTCAGATTTGTGAATAATGGAAAGAATGCAAACAGAAAACAAATAAATAGTTGTATCTATGTCACAAACAGAACTTTCGGTAAGACCTCACTTAACGTAGCGGATGCATTCTTAGATGACAAAGTGCTAAACTAAACACTGTTAAAGAGGTCATTTCAGCACAGAGTAAATAGGGAAAGGGGAACACATGACCAAAAATAAACAGAGTTTGCTTTAATTTTAAATTATTTAGATATTAGTTTGCATCATAATATATGTTAAATAACATATAAACATATGCACACACAAGTATAAAGTTCATTTTTTCTGACAAAGGTCCTGACTCTTCTGAAATTCTTGTTTTTTGTGATAAAATTGGGTAGTTTCACTCGTTGCTTTTTTTTTCCTTAAGCAAATGTCAGTAGTAGAAGATCGGATCCAAAACGTCTCGTCTTACTTTTACACTCCTTTTAAAATCTGGATCTTTCGCAACAATTTGATCAACGATTTCGGTTATCATTACGAAACTTTTACTAAGGAAATCTGAAGAGAAATTTTTTGGGTTCTTTATT